GGAGTCCCTAAATCTAAAAAGATCTTGGCAAAAAAAAACTAAACTGACCTAAGCTGTCATGAAGCTATTTAGAGAGTTTAATTATCCCACGAGTTAGACTATTTATCCTTTTTTTGCTATAGAAATATTCATATACTTTGATCCCTGATCCCTGCCTAGAAGTTATGTAGTAATTAATGTGTATATTTTATTACTTTTCTAAAATCCAAAGAATTCTGTGTTCTGCCCAACAGTTTTAATTAAGGGATTATTGACCTCTAAACAAATACTGAATGCTTTTAATACATCATTGAATTAAGAGTGGTGATATAGGTGTTTAATTGCTGTTACTCTCCAGGGGTCCTCAAACTTTTTAAACGGGGCAGTTCACTGTCCCTCAGACCATTGGAAGGCCAGACTGTGGGCCCTGGGACAAGTCAGCTGCTACACAGGACAGGCAGCGGTGGCAAAAACACCTGGCAAGCCAGATAAATGTCCTAGGCGGGCTGCATGTGGCCCATGGGCCATAGTTTGAGGACACCTGCCTATACAATCAAACATCATTTATGCCTAGATTTGTTTATAGTTTATTTGCCATAGTCTTATTTGTACATCTGAATTGTATACCAATCAGGTATCTCCTCTACCAACTAGAGAAGGTACATTCTAACCTTAATTTCCATACCTGCTATTGGTTTGACTATGAGTATATCATTTATTCTAGTTTAAAAAAAAAAACATGACATTTAGCATTTTAACCATATTTAAGCAAACAGTAGTGTTAACTAGATGTACACCGTTGTGTAACAGATCTCTAGAACTTTTTCAGCTTACAAAACTGAAACTCGACATCCACTGATGACTTCTGCACATTCCTTTCCCTGACACCTGGCAACCACAGTTCTACTTCTGTTTCTATAGGGTTGAGTACTTTTGATACCTCATGTAAGTGGAATCACACAGTTTTGGCTTTTTTGGGACTGGTTTACTTCATTTAGAATAATGTCCTCAAATTCCATCCATGTTGTAGCAAAGAAGTATTTCCTTCTTCTTTAAGGTTGAATAATATTCCATTGCATTTATGTATCATATTTCTCTATCCATTCATACCCATTTAGTTGCTTCTACCTGTTGGCTATTGCAAATAATGCTACAGTGGGCATGCCAGGAAATAATTCAGTAATCAGGACTCTGTATTCTTTCCATACCTTTATACTTTCTGTTTGTATGTCTTTAAAAAAATAGTCATTATGTTTTCTCCAGCCATGTGCAGTTTGAAAGAAATAAGAATTTCTTCAATGAAGATTAAAAATCTGGTTTATTACTATGATTAGGATTTTGCTGGAAAATGTTCATATTAAAGGTTGGATTATCTGTCCCCTCCAATTAATTTCATTTATTGAGTTATAAACCAAGTGTAAAACTTATTCTTTCTTTCTTTCTCTGATACCATCCCTCATCTCAAGCAATTTTTTGTATCAAGATATCATCATAAGAGGTTTATAATATTCTTGTTTATCTTTCAGAGATAATGGATTTTGTATTCCTCTTTGTGAATTGACTTCCTTTCTACCCTTGAAGTTATAAGTGGGACTCACATTGTTTTCTTTTTGTCATCCATGTTTTTTAATGGGGCACTGTTGCTCTCTAGGGGCCAGAATTGCTTCTTGCGGGGAGGTGATGAAAATCTTAATTATTTGGGGTCTTCCAGTGGACCACTGTACATAAACACATGCACACTACTTCTGTGATATAAAAATTTCTGGGGAGGGAGGAAAAAAAACTACAAAAGGCTTATTAGTGTATTAATAATGGAAGAAAAAGGTTGAGAAAAACTGATATACATCATGGGTAAAGAGGCAAAGAATTTGTCAGCAATAGTTTTTATTTATATTTTTGGAAAGGAAACTCCAGGGAGTAAACAAATGTGCTGATGACAGAATATTTCAGAAACATTTCCCCAGGTCAAAGTGGTTCCTTCTGAGATTTTTGCTACTATGTACACACTGCTTGGTAAACTTTGCAACTTCATAGCATATCAGAAGGAACTAGACTGCATCCTCTTCCTGTCTCTTCCCTTGGAGTAGCTTTTAGCTTTTCATTGGGGACCTGTTGTTAAAGGAAAATAAACTTTACCCTATACCAACCAACCATTTTCCTTTTTTCTCTAGAAAAACCTATCTGTACATTTCTTAATGTATTTTCCTAGTAATATTCAAGGCAAACTGGCAGTTAGAATTATATAGCTGTTTATTCCAAACAGTCAAAATATCCACAAGCTAAGAACATTTCCTATTTTGAACATTAGAACAGTGTAAACCTTAGTGACTTGCTCGGCACTTTGATTCTCATCCTATTTCTAAACCTGGTAGAGGTAAGAATCCAACAAAAAAAACATTTTGCAACAATATTTAAGTCTTGTTTTTTACATTTATTTATATGTTTTCATTTATGCATACATATATTTATATGTTTGTATTTATGTATACATATATACTTTTTGTGTGTGTGTAGGGACAGAGTCTCACTTTATCACCCTCGGTAGAGTGCCATAGCGTCACTGCTCACAGCAGCCTCCATTTCTTGGGCTTGGGCGATTCTCTTGCCTCAGCCTCCCATGTAGCTGGGACTACAGGCCCCCACCACAATGCCCAGCTATTTTTTTGTTGCAGTTTGACTGGGGCCGGGTTTAAACCTGCCACCCTCAGTATATGCGGCTGGCACCCTACCCACTGAGCCGCAGGCGCTGCCCCATATATGCCTTTTTTAATAACATCAATATGGTTGAGTTTTAAAACTCTTAAAGGGATAAAAGGAAACATTCAAGGAATACAGGTTTAATTTTTCCAACTTATATTTTGGGGGAATAACAACCTCTTACTGACTTTTGAACCATTGTTTAACTGCCTAGTTTTACCTTTAAAATACAAGGGCTATCCCGAAAGCATCCAGCCATGTGTTATTAAAAAAAAGTATTAACAATGGCTTGATACTTTCTGGACAACATTCATATAGATCCTTGAGTAAAAACAATGTCTCTGTTGATTTGGTATATCATCAGCACCTGGGGCTTAGTCAATTCTCAATACTTTCAAACGTAAGAATGAAACACACATGTAACATCAATACTCTTTATTCACAGAGCCAATATTTATGACTTTACATTCTCTCTGAAGTTATTTATTAATTTATTTATTTGAGATAAGCGTTTCACTTTGTCACCCTCGGTAGTATGCTGTGGCATTGTAGCTCACAGCAACCTCAAACTCTTTGAGCTCAAGTGATACCCTTGTCTTAGCCTCCCAAGTAGCTGAGGCTATAGGTACCCACAATGCCCAGCTATCTTTAGAGACAGGGTCTTGCTCTGGCTTACACTGGTCTTAAACTCCTGAGCTCAAGCAATCCACCTACCTCAGCCTCCCAGATTACTAGTATGATAGGCGTGAGCCACCACACCTAGCCATTGAAGTTATTTGTAATCCCCAAATCAATAGTTGGATCACTTTCATGATTATTTTTGGACGTGTATAGAGCAGTGAAAAATTTGAACAGCCTGAAATGTGTGCATGTTCCCAACAGAAGTTGCAGTACTCTGCCTTCTTATTTCAGCTCTCATACGACAAACAGGTTTCCATTTTGTGGACTATTTAGTACACATTTTTAGCATTTTTTTTCCTTTCATGATCATACTATATAAAACAGCCACAAGCAAAGTGCTAATGTGCTATCTAGTGTTCCCAAGACTCAGAAGGCTCTGATGTGCCCTGTGGAAAAAATCTGTTAGATAAGCTTCATTATAGTGAAGCATAGGAGGTTACAGTTTAATGTGAATTCACTGTTAATGAATCAATGACCCATACTAAAGAAAATGTCTTTAAACAGATGCACACCAAAAAAAGGTTATGTATTGGTTAATTGACAAAAATGTGACCAGAGATTCACAGGAACCTAACCCTGTATTTCTCATAGAAGCGGTAGTTCAGTATTTGCTAAATCATTATCAATGGTGACTTATAGAACATAGCTACCACAAACAGTAGGAATTAATTATATGTGCAATTTTAAAATTGTGCTCAAATACATAATGATTTATAGCTTGCTTATTTTTTCCTTTATAACTGTGTCATGTTCCTATTAAAAAATATGAGTCTTTGGCTGGGCACCATGGCTCACACCTGTAATCCTATATTATAGGAGGCTAAGGCAGGAGGATCACTTGAGCTCAGTAGTTTGAGATCTGCCTGACAAGAGCTAGTGAGGCAGATCACCTCTACTAAAAATAGACAAAAATTATCCAGGTGTTATGATGGGTACCTGTAGTCCCAGCTACTTAGAAGTTTAAGACAGGACGATTGCTTGAACCCTGAAGTTTGAGGTTGATGTAAGCTAAGCTGACACACTCTACTTTAGCCTGGGCAACAGAGACTCTGTCTCAAAAAAAAGAATGTTTATCATAATATAAGTTATATTATTTTTAAAAACCTGTGTATGTCCTTATATGTGTGTAGCAACATAGAGACAGGTATGGCTAATATGTAAAAGGTTAAACTGGTTACCTAAAATTGGTTCCTGGGGGATGAGTATTTTTTTCTTAATTTTTCTTTGTATTATGTCACTGGTTATAGTGAGCACATATTTCTTTTGCAGATACTCTTGTAAAACATGACTTTTAATTGTTGTATTGCATTTCCTTGTATGAAAGGAATACAATTTTGATTAATTATGACTTTATTTACGTCCTTCCAGTGCCTTGGGAGGTTGAAGTGGGAGGATTATTTGAGTCAAGAATTTAAGACCAGCCCAAGCAACAAAGGGAAACCCCAATCTCTAGAAAAAAAGTGTCCAGGTGTGGTGGTCTATACTTGTAGTCTCAGCTACTCAGGAGGCTGAGTCAGGAGAATCGCGTGGGCCTGAGAATTTAAGGCTTCAGTGAGTTAGGGTAATGCCATACACTCTAGCCTGGGCAACAAAGCTACACCTATTTCAAAAAAAAAATTATGGCTTAAATTCTTATGCTTCAGACAGTCAGCGTCTACAGCTGGATCTACAGAAAATGGAGCTTCTGGAAAGTAAAATGACTGAGGAGCAGCATTCTCTAAAAAGCAAAATTAAGCAAATGACAACTGATCTAGAGACATACAATGATTTGTCAGCTTTAAAATCCTCAGGTGAAGAAAAGAAAAAGGTAAATGCTAACAAAGTCTTATAAAATTACAATTCAGTTTGGTTTTTTCTTGATCAAATTTAATATTTATGCACTTTATGGGATTTTTTATTTTCAATTGATTATTTGATATTTAAGCTGAGAAAAAATAATAAAAATGTTTATATTTGTAGTTGGAATTTAGAGTGACTTAAAGTTTTAAGCAAGATATAAACTATTAATACAGTGCATTTCAACAAATATGAACTTTGTTAATTGCAGATTTGATAATCACTCTTCCTACTTAAAACTTGTCAGTAGCTTTCTGTTGGCATTTACATTAATATAAAGTCATTTAGGTGGGATAGGGACAGATATGGCAGCATTAATGGAATTATTAATACAATTAATATTAACATAGCTTATACACATAGTTCAATGGGTTTTTTTTTCTTTTTCTTTTTTTTTTTTTTTTTGAGGCAGAGTCTTACTATGTCACCCTTGGTAGAGTGCTGTGGCGTCACAGCTCACAGCAACTTCAAACTCTTGGGCTTAAGCTATTCTCTTGGCTCAGCCTCCCAAGTAGCTGGAACTACAGGCACCCGCCACAGTGCCCAGCTATTTTTGTTGTTGTTGTTGTTGCAGTTGTTTAGCTGGCCAGGGCCGGGTTTGAACCCACCACCCTCCATGTATGTGACTGGCACCATAACCACTGTACTAAGGGTGCCGAGCCATTCAGTGGGTATTTTTATAAACAGATTTTAGAGTAGTAACAGCCTTGGTAGAATTTTATCAGAATACAGTCCTTAAAATTATTTAAGTCCAATATGATTTATGCTGCTTATTAGATATTTACTGTAGCCTCTTATTTATTTCTGTTTGGGTCTATCTAGAAATTACAGCAAGAAAGAACAGTATTATCAATTCGCAGAAATGCTTTTAAGAAAATAATGGAGAAACTAAATATACAATATGAGACGCTAAAAACACAACTGCAAGAAAATGAGACACATTCTCAGGTAAAAAAAATTTTTTAATGGCTTTGCAATTAATTTATCCTTTTAGGTTATCTGTCCCATTCTCTTAAACTATATTTTTACTCCAAACAACCCTTTTGTATATAAAAAAAAATGTGTTATATACCTTCCAAATGTTCTGGCTTTGAGGACAGCCAGATTATGTACAACCTCCACTCAGAAGAAATGAACATCTGATTGTTTACCTCCTACAAACCCATATGGAAGCCCACTTCTATGTAAGGCACTGTCTTGGGCACAACCATTATGATAACTTTTAAAATTTTCAAAAGTAAAATATTTATAATGCAAAAACTTTGAAAACTCATAAAAACCACAAATAAAATAAACCCTAATGACTAATATCCTCCCAGCAGAGAGATTCTTGTTGGTATTTTTGGTGTGGGTCCTATTAGACTCTCTCTTTCCCTCTATATGTGTATGTACATGCACATTTATGCATATTCATAAGTATATATTTATTTCTATATATTTATATAAACACTATCATTTGTACATATTATTTGGGGGCTTGTTTTTTTTTCTTTTGTGCAATTTTTGCCCAGGGCTGGGTTTGCACCCACCACCTCTGGTATATGGGGCCAGTGCCCTACTTCTTGAGCTACTGGCGTTGCCCCTGGGGCTTGTTTTTCATTATTAAAGATAAAAGCTATTTCTCTTCTCAGTAGACATATTTTTTAAATACCATTTTCTTTTTTCTTTTTTTAAAATTTTTTTATTTTTTTGAGATAGTCTCACTTTGTCGCCCTCAGTAGAGTATCGTGGCATCACAGTTCATAGCAACCTCCAGCTCCTGGGCTTAGGTGATTCTCTGGCCTCAGCCTCTGAATAACTGGGACTACAGGCACCCGCCACAATGCCCAGCTATTTTTTTGTTGCAGTTTGGCCGGGGCTGAGTTCAAATCCGCCACCCTTGGCATATGGTGCCGGCACCCTACTCACTGAGCCACAGGTATTGCCAATTTTATTTTAATTTTTTTTATTGTTGGGGATTCATTGAGAGTATAAGAAACTAGGTTACACTGATTGCATTTGTTAGGTACAATTCCTCTTATAATTGTGTCTTGACCCCAAAAGGTGTTTCACACACCAAGACACCTACTTCCTCCCTCCTTTGCTCTCTCTGCTCTTCCTTCTCCCAACCCCTCCCTCCTTCCCTCTCTCAACCTCCTCTTTCCCCCCTCTTCCTTTCTCTCAACCCCCTCCCTCTATCTCTCTGTACTCCCCCCTTCCCCGACCCCCTACCATGTACTAGGTCATTAATTGTCCTCATATCAAAATTGAGTACATAGGATTCATGCTTCTTCATTCTTGTGATGCTTTACTAAGAATAATGTGTTCTACCTCCATCCAGGTTAATACAAAGGATGTAAAGTCTCCATCTTTTTTAGTGGCTGAATGGTATTCCATGGTATACATAAACCACAACTTGTTAATCCATTCCTGGGTTGGTGGGCATTTTGGCGATTGTAAATTGAGCTGCAATAAACAGTCTAGTGCAAGTGTCTTTATGATAAAAGGATTTTTTCCCTTCTGGGTAGATGCCCAGTAATGGTATCACAGGATCAAATGGGAGGTCTATCTTGAGTTCTTTGAGGGTTATCCATACTTCCTTCCAAAAGGGTTGTATTAGTTTGCAGTCCCACCAGCAGTGTAAAA